ATAGGTGATTAACATTATATCAGTAAAGCTTCCTTTGGATTATCATTCCTTTTCTTAGTACCTTTAGCCTGGAGTTCTCTGTTATTATTGGGCATTATTATTATTAGGGTTGCACAGATACCAAGTACAGTACTCAGTACGAGTACATGTACCGATACTTTTGAGCTCCAAGACTACACTAGAGAAAAATTCAAAAGTTAGGAGGCAGCTGTCATGTGTAAGGAGCACACGGAGCTCCTGGGATTTGTACATCTCTGTTTTATTGTACGATTTTGTTTTTATAAATATAAATAAAGTGATGCACAGATACCAGTTTTGCGAGTACGAGTACTGGTACTTGCCGAGTACTTACAAGTATGAGTACTGATACATTTTTGTTTATTGTCATGTGACAGTTTTTCTAAAACAATACAGACTAATGATTTCAGGACAGTGGTGGAGCGCCAGAGCTAGGTCCCAGCTGCAACCGCTGCAACCCTGGTAGTTCTCATGAAAATGCCAAGTATCTGCACTGGTACTCGAAAAGCATCTGTGCAACCCTAATTATTATTATAGTTCCATGTTGCTGTCCAGAATCTTCAGCTGCCGGTTCTGATTTCTTACGCGCCCTCGAGCTGAGCAGGCGCACACGGGAACGTTGCAGCAGCTCGGGGGAAATGTACGTTTGTATGTAGCGAGATTTGCTTCTTGCCTCACCAGTGTTTAACGCCACCAGCAACAAAGTGGGATTTCATCGTTGAGTACAGATCACGGAGCATTTGAGGATAATGGGAAAGCGCAGCGCTGCTAATAATACACTCGCAAAGCTGATTGTGTCTGACGCTTGTTTGCAAATAAGAACACGTCAACATGTTGCAGCCATTTGAGCCCAGTTAGTGTTGGGATTGTGTTCAGCGGGGGGGCGTCGAGCGAGCAGATTACTTCACTCTTCACTTTTTTTTTTTTTCTCTTTTGGAATGTGAAATGCTGCAGTTATGTAACACATGAGTTACCACTGTTTGTAGAGCATTATGGGCCCCCGGGGCTGGAGTGTCTCATAAAATTATTGAGACGCTTCACAAGTGCCATGCATAGAAAGGAGGCTTGTGGCGCTGCACTCAGGGACTAAATCACCATTGTATAATGTCTTCCGGAGGGATGGAAATGTAATTCAAATGTATGCTGAAGTTCCCTGAAGCAGAGGAACGTTGGAAGATTTCATAAGCAAAGGCTCCAAACTGAGAAAGTGGCTTATTTAAAAGGGATCTAATCAAGAGTGTGTCCTCAAGCGTCTCTCTCACCCCTGCTCTCCCTCTCTCTCTCTCCTCTGCTCCCCTCCTAATGTCGTCTCTCCCCCTCGTTCTACTATTATCTGCACCTCTCTACTCTGCTCTCCCATGATCCCTCTCTCCTCTGCTCCCCCTATGTCTTTGCCCCTTCTCTCCCTCCCTCTCTCTCCTGTGCTCTGCCTTGCGCGCTCTCTCTAATATGATCTCCCCCCATTACTCTGCTCTTCTACCCCTCTCCCTTCCTATTCCTCTCTCCTCTGTGCGCTCCCTCCCTCCTCTGTTCCCCTCTTCTCTCCTCCCCTCTCTCTACTATGTTCTCACCTGTGCGGTCTCTCCTCTCCCCCTTTTCTCCCCCCCCCCATCACTTCTTCTCCCCTTCCCTCTCTTCTCTGTTCTCTCTCTTACTCTCTATCATCTCCCCCTCTCTAATCTGCTCTCGCCCTACCCTGCCAGCGCTCTCTCTCCCTCTTCTGTGCTCTCCCTCCCTCTTCTGTGCTCTCCCTCCCTCCAATATGATCTCCTCCCACTACTCTGCTCTTCTCCCTCTCTCTGCTCTCCCCCTCCACAATGCCATGCCTCCCCTCCCTCACTCTCCTCTGCTGCCCACCCTCTCACATCTTCTCCCCCTCTGCTCTCCCCCCTCTCTCACTACTATGATCACCCACTCTTT